GCCCAAGAAGACTGGAGCCAGCAGAAGGCTCACCTGTGTTGAGGTGCAGTGAGCGGAGAGGATGGGGGGAATCAAACACTCCCATTGAGCACCTACCCCAGGGAGGGGAAGGGTGCCAGATACCACAGTCACCCCGTCTGCCCCTCCTTGTTCTGCACCGGTTCCCACCCAATGGTGCTGGAGTAGGCTGGGGTTGGGGTGGGTGGGTGGAGCATGCCCCGAGAAGGGCCATGGAGGTAAAGCTGACCACGCTCTCCTTTGCTAGCCACAGGTTTCCTGTGTGGGCCCGTCTCAGAGGGTTGGGGGGAGCAGCTTCAGCTTCCAATGAACTTTGGAGCCTCAACTATTTTCATAACTAGACATTTTAATTCTTGAAATTGGACTTTTGTGCCTAAAAGTGACTCCAGGAATTTTTATGATCTTGGATGGACCCCCCCTCCCCCAAACCCCAAGAAATCTACCTTAGATTTCATTTAAGGCTGGGTGAGAACCAACCCCACTGAAGAGGTTTTGAAAAGGAAGTGGGAAGAAAGGATTAAGTTGTTTTCTGATCACAAGGTATTCAAGCTTGCTAAAATGGTGACTCAAGTAACAGGAAGCATTCTGGCTAACCTAGGAGGAAAGGCGTTATTGACAGGGCACTGGGGAGCTCAGAGCACCACTGCTGGCTGGAGAAATAGTGTCAGCAATTGGGGGGCAAAAAGGGGAACCAATGATTCAGTGAATGCTACGGAACCACAGAAAAGGTACCCCCACCTGCTTCTGCCCACAGGATGCTGGGTGGCTTGGTCTTCACAGCCCCCATTCTGCGTATTCATAGACATTTGAATGTCTATTCATTCATAGACATTCATAGGCAGCCGCTACCTCCCGTCAAAGACCCATTGTAGGGAAGACCCCAAATACAGGGCCCTGGGGCAGGAGGCAGAAATGAACATCTACTAAAAGGGTGAACCATTAATTGATTGAGCTTAAAAGTGTAGTTTACCCAGAATGACCAAGATGACATTTTCTGTCACCAGACTAAATGGGGAATTGAAAAATAGGTTTTTATACAACATAGATTATTATAAAAAATAAGTTTTTGCATGCCTGAGTTTGTAGTTATGAAATTCATACCTACCCTAGAGATAATGTGAGACGTAAACAGAAGAGATCAATGAAAGCCCCTGGCAAATGCTTGAAAAGAGTGGGTCCCCATCAGTAAATGTTGGACAAGGATGCTGGTCTAGGTTACCCTCCCTTCCTCCCTCCTACCTTCCCTCCCCCTCCCTCCAGCCCGCCATTAGCACACTGCTACCCACCACCCTTCTCAGTCCTTGGTTCAGTGGGGCTGGACCCGACATGTTACTTCCAGTGAGAAGGCGCTTTGTCTCACAGGCGGGAGGCTGGCACCACGGCCTTTGTCTGCTCTCACGTCCCTTGCTCTGTGCTCTGGCAGTTGAGCATGTGCGACATGCAGCAGGGCCAAGGAGATGCCAGCAGTGTCCGGGCGTCACTGGTGCTCTGGACCCACAGTCTTGGGAAAGCACCACACATCCCTGGTACCCACAGCCCTGGACTCCAAACCTCCCTTCCAGACCCCAAGCCACGCTCAGGGGACTCCACCGCTGTCCGCTGGCCCGTGGAGGGCATACTGCTCTTTCCTGCTGCACCCCCCACCCCTGCCACTCCTCACTAGCCTTCGAAGCTCAGGTGATCCCAGGAAGCCTGGCCTGGCCACCGTCCGGTGTCCCCCGCCTCTGAGCCCCATGCCATCAGGCCACATGCAAACCAAAGCTGGAAAAGACCTTCAGAACGACTTGGCCTCAGCTGTCCAGTTTACAGAGGGGGCTGGAGCCCAGACCCAGCGTTAGTCCACCACCGCTGTACAGCACACCGGTGGTCAGTGGCAGAGTCCAGGTCCCGGACCTCCAGACTCGGGCCCTCCTCCCTTTGGGGACACTGAATACATTGCTTCCCCATCAGGGCACCTCCTGTGGGGCTGGTGGCTCTTCCTCCTTCTCCAGCAGCAGCTGGTGGTGCCGAGAGCCCACCTGGGTGAGCAGGGGCCATCCCACCATTCCCTCCCTAAGCATTTATTGAAGCTCTAAGGTCCCTGATAAGTAAGATTTCAACACCCGTGGGTGGCAACTCCTTCAGGCAGAGAGTTGAGAACGGTTTCCATGGAGACTGCCCAGGCTCCAGTTTCCATAGCAACATCCACAGGCAGTTACAGAGCCTCCTATTTATGTCAACTTAACATTTGCAACTGCTCTATTTTTTCAGGCCAAACCTGGGCCTAATATAGGGCTTCCTGTCTAGGATCAGTGACAGACCACAAGGGCCAGAGGGGAACTGGGTGACACGGTGCCATTAGCTGACAGTGAGCACATTTCCTCAGCCAGCAGGCCTCCTCCATCCTGGCTGCAGGGGACACACATACACTATACATGGAGACACACACACTTAAACTCTAAAGAGAATGCATCTTCTTCACAGGAGAGATAGAGGCCTCCAGATCCCCGCCCTCCAGAGATGACTGTTACATGGTTCGGAGTATCCTTCCAGAAGCAGTACACGCACATCCATAGAGCTATCTTTCAGAAAATTCACAAATGGGATATGTATTTTATTCTTGCTCTCCCAACTACTTTACCTTAATTAGATATGTTTCTTTAATTGAAGGTAGAGAGAGAGAGGAGGGGGAGAAACATTGATGTGAGAAACATCAGTTGATTGCCTCCCTTATGCATCCGGACTGGGGGTCGAACCCAAAACCTGGGTATGTGCCTGCCCAGGAATTGAACCGGTGACCTTTCGGTGCATGGGACAATGCTCAACCAACTGAGCCACACTGGCCTGGCCTTACCCTAATTATAGATCTTGGAGAACTTTGCACATCAGCACAAATTAGAGCTACTTCATTCTTTGTAATGGCAACAAATATGCACTTTAAAAATAAGTCCCCAGGTGAGGGAGTTTTGTTTTTAGTTTCTTGCTATTACAACAATAAATATCTTCTACCCACCTCTATTTCTGTAAACTTGTTTGAGTATATCCATAGGATAAATTCCTAGCAGTGAGATTGCTGGGTCAAACCCATTGCATTTTAAAATTTGATTTTTGTCACCGATTTACTGCCATTGGTACAAGAGGGCTTGTACATACTTGAGAAGACTGGCTATTATTAAACTTGCACCAAACCAAACCGCAAAACCAGTCTCCCCAACTGATTCTAATAACACAAAGCCTGAAAAGGAGAGCGTGAGAAAGGGAAATTACAGGCCAACCTTACTAATAAACATGTATCCGAAACTGCTAAAGAAAATATCAGCAAACAGAACCCAATAGTATAGAAACAAGAGAACACATGACCTAACGGGTTATTAATGTTGTTCCCACATTAACAAGTTAAAGAGGAAAAACATGTGATCATATCAACAAAGAAAACATTTGATAAAAGAATTAAACAACTATCTTTGACTAAAAATGAAAACTCAAAATAGGAGACAACTGCTTTAACCTTAAAAAGAGTATTTCCCAATATCTAAAACTATACTCAAGGTGAATTCTCTTTAAAATCAAGAATAAGATTTGTGACTATCCCCATGGTACCAGAGGTCCTAGTCAGTGAGATAGGTTAAGAAATAAAAGTTTTAATTATTTAAATTAAATGAAATATATTGTGCTTCACAACTTACACACTAGTGGTTTACATATAGCATTGTCTACTTTAAATGTTTTGCTACATAAAATAAGTGAACCATCCCTGCAAAAACGTTTCTCTTTTGTTTGTATTTTCTACGTAACAGTAATAAAACACCTTTTCATGTTTAGCTATGATCCATTTGTATTTCTCTGTGAACACACTGTTTATATTCTTTGCCTTTTTATGTACTGAGTTGTTCATTTCTCATGATTTTAAGAACTTGGCATATTAGGGAAAATAGCCCTTTTTATTTCCTGTTTCAACATCTCCCCCAGTTTGCAGCTTATAAATCTTTTGCCTTGGTGTTTTGCTGTATGTAAGTTCTAATTCTTCATAGTCCAAGTTGTTGGTAGATGTCCCACTTAGAAAGGTCTTTCCTCCTCCCAGATTATCCTTTAAATTAATTCAAATACTTTCAAGGCTTCATTTCATACTCAAAACCTTTGCTCCATCTAGAATTTTATTGCAAGGAAGTAGGATCCCGGTTAGTTTTTGTCAAAACAGGTAGCCAGTTGTTCCACTAAAAAGAATTCTTGAACATAAGTCAATTTCTAGGCCTCCACCACATCCATTCCCTTTGCTACAGCGAACTCTTTAATTGTAGACGTTTATAATGCTTAATATCTAGAGGCTATTCTCCATGCATACGTCCCTAAAAGAACTGAAAGTCAAGTTAAAAAAAGTTGGCATTTTAATTGATTGCATTAAGATTGATGTCTTCGCACGATTTAGAACAAGGTGTGTCTGTACTAGCCTGAGCCTTTTATGCCCCTTGCAGGATTACTGAGCCTGTGACTGGGACCTATGGTGAAGGCCCCTATCCTCATCCCACCTCTGGGCTCATTCGGTCAAGGTTCTGGGCAGCTCTCCCTCTTCCTTCTCTGCAGAATGTGGACCTGACTCATGCCAAACTCAGCTCAGCCCCACCAACGTGGTTACTTAATGCCCAGAAATCGTGGAGAACACCTCAGCGTCCTTGTGCTTAAGGATGAGCAATGATGATGTCATCTTCCAGGGTGGTTGAGAGGCACTTAGAAGCAGCATAACCTTGGCAGGTTGCACAAGCCCTCAGAGCCCCTCCTTCTCCCTCACCTGTAAAACGGGAGTCTACCTGGCTTATGAGGGTGCTTGGCTGGACCAGGGAACAGGCCCCCTCTGCAG